GTCACATTTGCAGAATAGACGCTAGGCAAATTACAGCCAAATAGGGAAGCACTGGGGTTAGCTCCGTGTGGAAGGATGTTTGCCTAAGCAGGAAAGGTCCGAGGTTTGATCCCTAGCATAAGAGCAAAGCAGTCATCCAAATAGTGGGCTGGAATCTTTCTCTTGGGAACAAGGAGGCTCCCTCTAGATAAAGCCCAATAAACTACCACAAAGTTACAAGCCTGAAAATGTTTCCTGTAAGCAACTGATACACCTCCTCCTAATCATCACGTTGTACTCAGGAGCCTTTTCCCTATGGAGCCAGCCATCTGGAAAGACCCACCCTCTCATACCCATCAGTCCTTGGGACTGGCCCCTCAGAGGGAGTGGACAGCAGCTCTGAATATCATCCACTGTGCACTTTATTGTTGCCTTCCTTTAATGGAAGTCACAGAGCTGAGCTAGGAGACACTAGGCTTCAGACAAAGGCTGTGGGATTGAGGGCCTGGGCTCTTTCTCCCGCTCTGGAGATCCCTGGTCATCCTCTGAGCCTTGGCCATCTGCTTTTTAAAGCCTCTGCCGCCACCATTCATAATGGGTTTAAGTGCAAGGACTCTGGAGGGAGTTTGCCTTCCAGAGATGAAGTTTATAATTAGCACTCAGTGAAATCCACTTGGGAGCTGAAGGAACCGATCTGCATAGACATCACTTGGGCCGCTCACTCCTGACCTGGATTTTTACACAAAATTCAGAAGTAAGGGCTTAGCTCTTGTTCCCTCTGGGAAAAGCCTACCAGCTTCCACCCGCTTCCTCCTTCAGGGAGCCATTCTGGCAGGGTGGGTGAGCAGCTCCAGGAGAATGCAGGACAGTTTCAGAGAGTTCAAGAACGAGAAAAAAGTAGATGGTCAAGGTAAAAGTGGAAGATAACTGGGGAGGGGGCGCCCCAAAACAGCTTGACCACACAGCTGCCATGACAGGCTTAGAGGCCCAGACACAGCTTCTGGCAGGCAACACCTGGACCCAGGAAAAGCCATAAGCTGATCCCACCCAGTGGGGCCTGCATCTAAGAGAAAATACCGGACATTCTAAACATTCCCTATACCTCAAGACAAATGTCAGCCAATCAGGGTCCTAAACCCTGGAAATCCCCTCTTCCCAACCTCTGCTATGATAAAAACTCCACCCTGCCTGGGCTCCAGGCTCTCTGCTCTCACTGCTGCATGGGACAGAAAGCCCGAGCTCTGAGCTTGAAAATAAAGGCTCTTTGCTTTTATATAAGGAATTCTCTCTCCGTGGTCTTTTAGGGGTCCCCTAGATCTGGGCAAAACAAGAACTACCACCTAATAACCTCCATTCTCTTCCCCCAGACACAAGACTCTTCCTCCAGACAGTCTCTCTCCAGCAGGTCCACACCTGGGGCAACAAGCATGTGACTCACAGCTGGGAATGATGGCCTTGTGTTCTCTCCACTGTGATGCATTCAAACAGACCCAGGAGTGTAGGGGAAGGGCCATGAGTCACTGCTGACCAAGCGTGGATAGAGAAGGGGGATAGGTGTCCCACTGTGTCAGCATCCTGAGCCTCCCTCCTGACCTCTGACCAGGGATAGCCAAGGCCTAAGGCCCTTTCTAGGCCAGCATCTCTCTGCCTTGACACATTGGTATTTAGGACTGGTATTTAGGACCTTCCTACGGAAGTCTTCCTGTATCTGCAGGGTGCTGGGCAGCACACAGGCTCTACCCAAGATTCCGGTGGAACCCCCACTCAGTTGTGCCAACTAAAGATGTCTCTAGCAGAGGCCACATATGTCCGCTTCTTTTTCTAGTACCTTTTTGTTTTTATCTGTCTCGTATCTCAGGCTGGACTCAAGCTTGCTGTGTAGCAGAAGATGACTTTAAACTTTGGATGCTCTTGCCTCTACCTCCCGGGTGCAGGGAATACAGGCAGGCACCACCCCATCTAGTTTATGTGGTTCTGGAAACCCAACCCAGGTCTTCATGCACACCAGGAAAGCATTTTACCAACCAAGCTACATTTCCTTTTAAAATTAAAAAAGAGCCAAACACGGTGGCACATGTCCCTGTAATCTGAGTGCCCTGGAGCCAGAAGCAAGACACTCAGGCATTCAAGGCCAACCTATGGGACAGCAGACCTTGTGCAAATAAAGAGAAAGGAGAAGAGGGGTGACATTCATTTGAGGAGTTGTGCTTCTTTCTTCAGTCCAGGGTCCTAGCCCATGACATGGCCACCCACACTCAGAATAGGTCTTCCTACCTCAGTAAGCCTTTCTGAAAAATCCAGAGGCATGTTTTTTTGTTGGTTTTTTTTTTGTTTTTTTTTTTTTTTTGAGCTGAGGATCAAACCCAGGGCCTTGAGCTTGCTAGGCAAGCACTCTACCACTGAGCTAAATCCCCAACCCCAGAGGCATGTTTCTATGGTGATTCTAAATCCTATCAAGTTGGCAGTGAGGTTAACCATTATAGCACATAATCAATATTTTAAATTCAGTGATCCACTCTTTTGCTTTTTTAGTTTTTGAAATTATAATATAACTACATCATTCACCCTTCCTTGTCCTTCCTTCAACGCCTCCGTTACATTCCCCTCTGCTCTCTCTAAAATTCATGGCCTCTTTCTCTTAAATGGTTGCATTCTCTCTCTCTCCTCTCTCTCTCTCTCTCTCTCTCTCTCTCTCTCTCTCTCTCTCTCTCTCTCTCTCTCTCTTCGGCACCAAGCCTTCAGCTTCTCTAATGTACTTTTTTTTTTTTCTAATTTATCACAATTAGACTAGACACAGTTCCTGTGCTCTGCAGCCTCATGGAGTCAGTAGCTAATAAAAATGAACAATATAAGAATGAAAATCTCCCAGAGTGAAGGTCACCCCTGCCCCTCACCCAACACCAGGGACTTCCAGAGCTAAGCTACACGGTTGCGAAGCTCTGTTGTCAACTGCATCCAGTCTGTCCCTTAGTGTTCCAGGGTATTGGTTACAGAACCCACATGAATAACAAAATATGCATTTAAGTCCCTTATATAAACAGCTTAGTATTTGCATATAACCTACCCACACCCTCCCGAGTACATCCTTTCCAGATCACTAAATGGTGCCTAATGCAATGCAAATGCCTTTTACAGAGTCATCCTCACTCTACTGCTTAGGGAATAAAAACAAGGGAAAGTGTGTCCATGACCACTCCCAGGACAGAGGCGATTTTTCTTCCTAGTATTTTCCAGTCACAGTTGGTTAAATCTGCAACTGTAAAATCCATGGATACAGAGAGCTGACTGTATTTATAACTCAGAGAATAATCCATTTCAGGAGGCTTCTGTCCCTTCAAAGCAGTGTCCTCTACTAGGCAGACAAACAATGCCTCGCGCAGGTGGTCTGGTCCTCTTCAGGACGGCTTCAAACCCCCGGGAACAGAGCTTCCAGCCATACAGTACTGACACCTGTCTCCTGGGAGTCATGTGCCCCAGGCCAGCCCTTTCACACCCTGCTCCATTCCCTGAAGCTAACCTTGCCAGCTGCTTACCTAATACAAAGTTGCAGATGCACCTAGCCCCGTAGTCCCTGCCTTGTGCACCATAATCAAATGTCCCACCTTTCACCCATCTCTGCTTTTGGTAAGCAACTAAGGTGCTCAGTTGAGATGAGTTAAATGCCTTCCCCCCCCCCACTTCCTTTCTGAGGGCTCTCAAGCACAGGGACTTGGATTTGATCCCCAGAGTCTGTGCACAAAATCTGGGCATTAGGGAGCACCCTTGTCATCTTAGAGCTGAGTAGGTGGAGACAGGGGCTGTTGACCAGCCAGCCCAGACTACTTGACAAGTTCAAGACAATGAGGAACTGTCTCAAAGAAATGTGGTCAGTGCCCTAAAAATGACACCTGATGTTGTCCTTTGCCATCTGCATCCTCATGTACATTCTCTCTCTCTCTCTCTCTCTCTCTCTCTCTCTCTCTCTCTCTCTCTCTCTCTCTCCATACACGTAAAAAAAAAATTCAATCCTTACACCTGGTCCATGATGCCTGGCACACAGTAACAGCCCAATAAACATGTATGTGACTTTGCTGGTAGTGGCAAATAAACCTGGGGTGGAAGGAAGTCTTTGAAAGGTCTCCACGTTTGAATTTGGGGAAGAATGGGCTATTTGTCTGCAGCTTTCCAGTGCCCTAACCTTGTGTCCATGGAGAGCTGCACAGTCAGATAAATGGCCCAGGAAGCCATCTGCAGCCTTCTGCCTGTACCCATTCCTGTGGTGCCGTCTCTCTGCCCTAAGCAGCTATTAAAACCTAACTATGGCCGGGCGGCAGTGCTGCATGCCTTTGATCCCAGCACTCGGGAGGCAGAGCCAGGAGGATCTCTGTGAGTTCAAGGCCAGCCTGGTCTACAGAGCAAGATCCAGGACTGACACCAAAACTACTCAGAGAAACCCTGTCTCGAAAAACACAACCAACAACAACAACAACAACAAACCCTAACTATGAAGACACAAATCCAGCCCCAGTCCCTTCCTGTTGGAAGCAGCTCCTCAGTGCCCACTTAACTTGACAGCTTTTAGAATTTTCTTCTGGTGTGTGGATCTTGTGATTTTCATTATTTAGCTTTGGAACCAGTCTTGTCTTTCAAAATATTTTCTTAGCCTCTTCCTGCACTTCTGAGTTTGAGGCTGGAATGGGTCCCTATTTCTGCTATGTCTACCACTGGCTGAAAGCATCAGGCTGATGTGCTAATATAGATCTCATGATCTAAATGCCTTGCTCCTAGCCAGGTAGGGTGCTATGCCCCTACTGTAGCCCCAGCACTTCGGAGACTGAGGCAGGAGGATCACTGGAATCCAGGAGTTCAAGACCACCCTGGGTAAGATAGTAAAAACCTGGTCTCAAAAATGAATTGATTAGTTAATTAATTATCAAGTCTCTGTTAAAGTCCACCAGTGAACTCCCATTTGCTTGAGTTTAGAGTCTAAAGAACACAGCCTGGTGTGCAAGTTTCCTGGTGATAAGACTAGGGTTGAATGTGGCCAGTTAGCTCAGTTGGTTAGAGCGTGGTGCTAATAACGCCAAGGTCGCAGGTTCAATCCCCGAACGGACCAAGCAGTAAATGTATTTTTAGCCAGGCGGTGGTGGTGCACGCCTTTAATCCCAGCACTCGGGAGGCAGAGGCAGGCGGATCTCTATGAGTTTGAGACCAGCCTGGGCTACCAAGTGAGTTCCAGGAAAGGCACAAAGCTACACAGAGAAACCCTGTCTCAAAAAACCAAAAAAAAAAAAAAAAAAAAAAAAAAAGACTAGGGTTGATTCTAATCTTGGACTTACATCCTCCTGCAGAGGGGAATTAGGACACAAAGACAGACACAGGGAGCACTGCACTAAGATGAAGGCAGAACTCTAAGGGATGCATCTTCAAAGAAGACTCACAGATGTTCAGAAAAAGTCAAAGTCTAGGAAGAGGCACAGTATGGATCCTCTTTCCTAGCCTTCAGAAGAAACCAAGCCTGCAGACCCGTGGCCTCACATCTCCAGCTCCAGCATTGGAGAACAGTAAGTATCCACTGACTAAGATGCCCAGATAGAAGCTGGACAAGAGCCATAGCAAGCTAGTCAAGTCCCCAAATACAGCATCACGCTCCTGTGTATTACAGTAAGTCATTAAGTCCACCCATTCTCAAGGAAAGAGAATGAAGGTCCATCTTTTGAAAGTACGACTATGAGAGAATTTGGGGCCATGGTTTAAAATCACTACCAGGGCCAGGAGTTCTCTCTGAAACTTTATGAAAAATTCTCTTCTGTTTATACTGATTTTAATTTGATTCCTGAGTTTTGTATCCCAAGGTTTTTATTTAAAATATATTTAAGATGAGCCTGGTGGCACATGCCTGTAATCCCAGCATCTGGGAGATAAAAGAAGGAGGATCAGGTGTTCAAGACCAGCCACAGCTATACAGTGAGTTCCTGGACAGCCTGGGCTACATGAGACCCTATCTCAAAATAAACAAACACAATTCTGTGTGTGAGTGAGTGAGTGTGTGTGTGTGTGTGTGTGTGTGTGTGTGTGTGTGAGAGAGAGAGAGAGAGAGAGAGAGAGAGAGAGAGAGAGAGAGAGAGAGAGAGAGAGACTTCCTGTCAGGAAATGTCTCATAGAGTTGGAAATGTTAGTTTAAGAAACCATTCATTCAGGCTGGATGTGGTTGCAAACTCCAGTTCTCTGTGAGTTCGAGGCTACCCTGCTCTACATAATGAGTTTCAGTCAAAACTACATAGTCTCAAAATAAAAATAAAAAACAAGAAATAATTCATTCAATGAATGAATGCCTGGAATGTTAGTTATTTAGCACTCAGAAGGTTGAGGTAAAAGAGTTGATGGTTTGAGGCCAATATGAAATAGTATCAAGTCCCTGCCTCAAATAAAAAAATAAAATAAAACCAAGAAGAGGAGAAGGAAGGAAGGGAGGGATAGAGGCAAGGAGGACAGGAGCAACAGAGAGAGGGAGGGAGGGTCATTAATGTGTCCAAACTAGCGACTTGTTCCACTTGTACAACATTCAGACTTCCCTCGGCGGCTTCCCATTGTAGACCTACTCCAGAAACTGTGGTGGAGGTGAACTGCGAGAACAGTTGGAAGTCTGAGAGTGTGTGGAATACCAAGGTTTTCTCTGGAGATGACTCATGTTTGGCAGGTAACGAGGATTTGATTTTAGATGTTCATATGAAGATAAAGCTTCCTTGCAACTTCATAGGTTCATGCATTCATGCATTTCAGCAAGAAGGCTTGGAGAACTTGCTACATACCTCATGCTAACAATGTTCTAGAAATAGTGTGGTGAATAAGAAAACACCAGCCCTTAAGAAATATGCAGTCTTGCATTAACACTATTTGTCCCAAGATGTTACGGTTGTGGTTGTGGTGGTTGTTGTTGTTGTTGTTGTTGTTGTTGTTAATTAATGGTAGTTCTGCCTGTCCCCATCTGCCTCTCCAACCAGAGCCTTGCCTTCCTGCTGGGCAGCCTGCTTTTCCAGGCACTAGCTGCCTGCCATACGGAAGTGAAGAGGTCCTGTCTTTGAGGAGTGACAGGTTTAGCAGGAAGCATATGGTCAGAGACACAGTTGTCTGAAGCTTAATTTTAACATTCTGAGAATACTTCTCCCCCTTTCATGCTGCAGAAGATCTGGGCCAAGGACTGTGAGTGGGTGGAAAGGGAGAGAAAAATGGAAAACTAAAAATGACTACAGGAGGGGCAATGGTACATTCTCACTTGATTAAAAACTGTGAAGACACTGCTGGGGGGCCGGGTAGTGTGGGGGTATGCAAATGGTATGTAAATTGCATCCACACCAGCTCAAATGATCACAGCTCTTTTAGTTTGCATACTTGAGTGTGGGTCATTGGGAACATCTCCTTGAGTTGAGAAATTAGTCACCGCTGTGCTGTGCTCTCACCCCATTTGACCGTGGGTGAGACTCTTCCCTGCTGCGGCCCCTTGTATTTCTTTTTACACAGCAGAACGAGAGTCAGTCTTGAAGGTTTCTTCTAGACTTCACACACGGTTTTAGTACAGAGAGCAATACTTTCCTTTGACATCAATTTTTTCAAGAAATTAACCTCAGAAGTGGAACACTCTTAGAAAATCCAATTCAGGCCGGGCGGTGGTGGCGCACGCCTTTAATCCCAGCACTCGGGAGGCAGAGCCAGGCGGATCTTTGTGAGTTTGAGGCCAGCCTGGGCTACCAAGTGAGTTCCAGGAAAGGCGCAAAGCTACACAGAGAAACCCTGTCTCGAAAAACCAAAAAAAAAGAAAAAAAGAAAGAAAATCCAATTCATAGCAACAACACGGAATAAATGGGGGATAAAAGGAAAATAAAATTATAGACAACTGTTACCCAGAGTGAGAAGATGAGAGTAGAAAAACAGACATATCCCTGGTACCACGAGGTTGTTGGGGACTCCCCACAATCTCCTAAAATCCAGAGATAGAGAACTGTATATTGCCTGTGTCTCCCTGACATCTTACATGGTACATATTGGGCTATAAAATTTTGAGTTGATGTTTTCCATCTGAATTCTTTTCTGCCTAGTAAAGTGGCCAGTACCACAGGCATCTAGGAAGAAACCTTCATTTGTTTTTATTTTAATTTGGTGGTGGTAGCAGTTGTTTGAGATAGGGTCTCATTACACAGCCCAGGCTGACCTCAAAGTCAGAACCCTCTTGCCTTAGCCTTCCAAATTCTGGGATTACATGAATCACTATGCCCAGATCTAGAAAATGCCTTTTGGGGGTGACTTTTAATATCCTTTCCAAGCCCATGAGAGCTTAATTAAATTAAACTGAATTGAATTCCCTGAAACTTGGGTTTCAGGCTTTTTCACGTTAGTCTGTATTTGAGGTCATCTCATATACTATTCTGCACCAGCTCCAATCCATTTGGGCATTCTTCCTGTCTCAGATTCCCAATCATCCTTTTGTGCCCAATGTAGAAAAGGTAACAGCTTATTAGAGTCTTTGTTCTTGGGTCCTCCCTGAGACACCTTTGGGCAATTTTCAGTTTGCTTTTTGGATCCTTCCATTTTCCACAAAGTCATTTCCTTCTTTTATTCAATCAATAAATATATTTTGAAAACCACTGAGCTTCCTGCTATATGTTTGGAAATATATCAAATACAGCCCATGAAAACACTCTGGTCCCTCCTTCTAGGTGCCTACAGTTTGACTGATCACTAACATGATCAACAACAGGATCCTAGGAGGACCCCAAGGAGTCAGGTTTATTTTAATAGTTATAGGTTTCTTTTAGCATGCATTAAAAATACAAGTCTGGTGCTGAATCTGTGCATTTTAGGAATAGTGCTTCATAAGGTAAAACTAGATTTATTTTATCTTTAAAGGAGTTTTGTTTGTTTTGGTTTGTTTGTTTGCTTTGTTTTGTTTTGGTTTGGTTTGGTTTTTTGAGGCAAGGTCCCTTCCACAGAGCCCTGGCTGTCCTGGAACTCACTATGTAGACCAGGCTGGTCTTGAACTCAGAGATCTATCTGCCTCTGCTGGGATTAAGGGCATGTGCCACCATGCCCAGCCTTAAATGAGCTCTTAACACCAGATATTACTAGTAGCATGTAAATTTGGCAAAAATCATGACCAACTTTTGAAAATGACTGCACTAGGCTGTACTTTGTGTGCTGTTGGGCAGTATTTCCAAAAACCTATCCAGCTCCTAATCTCGCAACTGCCATTTGATTAATTGTTTTCAAAGTGTGTTTATAACCAAGAATTAAGTGGCATACCTAAGATAAAATGTTGTATCATTTTAGAAGAAAGAAATAATCCTTTCAGTTGGGGTAGACTGGAGGAGGGGAAATTTTAATTAAATAGTTAAATCTGGTAATAATAAACTGTGATTACAAAGAAAGAAAGAAAGGAAGGAAGGAAGGAAGGAAGGAAGGAAGGAAGGAAGAAAGAAAGAAAGAAAGAAAGAAAGAAAGAAAGAAAGAAAGAAA